ACTTACACAAACCTAGAGGGGATAACCTACTATACACCTGGGCTCTAGAGTACTAATCTTATGGGACCACCATCCTCTATGCAGTTGGTTGTTGACCAAAACATTGTTATGCAGCGTATGACTACAGTACAAAGAGGATGGGATTGGTAGAAGATTTTCATAAAATGCTGTTTGTTTCATAATCAAATAAGAGAGAATTATGTCATGTGCAGCTTTGTATAAAGACAAGGTTTTTATTCTTACTGGAAAACTGAGCTCTGTGGCTTTCCTGACTCTGTATGCTTTTCTCTCTCTCTCTCTCTGGTGGACTTCTCTGAAGTTGATAGAAATATTTGTTTTGAGTGTCCATTAATCCCCTACCCCATTCCAGCCCCATCCCACTAAGGTACCTTTTAAAATAGTTTGAAATATCCTCCATAGTGTCAGTGTATGTTGATGTTTCATTCTTTCCGTCATAAACTAAGGATTTTCCTTCAGTGTGATGTTATTATTCTGTAGGATGTTTTCGTGCTGCCCGCATTCTTAACCTCTTTGTGAATAGGACCCATATATGGGCACAAATCCAGCAGCTGAATTCTCCATCTGATTAGCACAACCTACGGATGTGATACACTTAAAAACAGCCAAGATCCAGTGCAGCAACTAAGGCTCCTGGGGTGCGGAGCAGTAACAATCAAATAAAGACATGTTAAAATGCAATAATACTTCCTCCGTGGGCACCACCTAAAAAACACAGCCACGACTATTCTTGCCCTTTAGTGTGCTTTACTCACTGATTCTCCTTTTTTCTACTCAGATAACCAGCGTACTGTTCCCAGTGAGTATGAAGTGCAGATAAGTTCGTGTGCAAATGAACGGGAAGCCACTGACGCTGGCTGTGTAGTTTTCAGATATTAAGAGAAATTTCAGGCAGTGTGAACTCAGGGTACTTTTTTGCTGAGCAAAGATCTCCACCCACTGAAGGTCAGGCCCTCGGGGACAGTGTAATGACTTCAGGACTCTGACTATGTGCAATTAGATCTCTGAAGCAAGAGCTTTTAAAGCAGGCTATAAAATGCCCATGTATCTCTATTAAACCTATTTTCTAACTAGATGGAGAAACTTCTCTAGTAATTTTTAATTTTATAAAGTCTAATTTTTCCATGGGCCAAGGGAAAAAAACTGTCTGGGCACTAAAAGCTTTGGTATAACAATGTTATTTTTTCTCTCTAAATGATTAAATGCAATTTCATCCATTTAGTAATACTATGATTGTGGGGGCAATAGATAATGCTAGCAGGGAGACATCAGGAAAACTAAGTATAATGCAGTAACAATTTATTTTTACTCTTTCTCTAAGTTAAAAATTCCCAATACATTCGAGTATTAAATAAATCACAAAATTGTCTCCTGAACTGAAAATAGAGTTTATTCCCAAACATTAGCAATTTCTTGTTGTTTTTCAAAGTCAGCTGCTAAGCCTTTTAAAGCTTCTTGGTGACTGGCCTTTGTGGCAGACATCAGAATATTAATCTTGTGGCTTTCTTTCACAGTTCACTGCTGGTAAAGAGGCGCGTTCCAGACAGGACGTTGTTGGCCCTGCTGTTGCTCAGGGCGGGGCAGGAAGCCCTCTGGAATTAGACCCACGCTCCCCACACTCCCTGATAAGGAGGTTGTAGGGGAGGGAGAGGTTAATTCTCATTATGGGATCAAATATAAAATAACTTAAAGTCACTCTGAATTATTTTATAATTGCTATAAAGTTTACCTTCAGAAGATTCAGTTGGTACTGACTTTCTTACAGGGTTTTCTGTGACAGCGTAAATCATTCCTAACTTAGGGCAAAAACCTTTCATGGCAGAACATCTAACTGTATTTTCAAGTTTAGCCTCTTTTTAAACAGCCAAGTATTTGGGATGCTATTTTAACGTTAGTAATGAATTTTTCAATATCTTCCGGTAACCTTTGCAACTTCCAAGTTGACTTAAAGGGGAGTCTGGAATGTAGTGGACAAACCGTCTTCGCTCACAGCGTTGTGCCCCTTGACCCGCCCGTGACCTTCACCCTGACTCTCCCCGAAAGCAATGGCCTCCGGCATCCCAGAACTCTGCCAAGGCAGCATCTGTGGATTTCCCTCGATGCGTGTCCAAGGCTTGAAGGCTTTTTACTCTCTGAAGAATAAAAAAGTCTCAACTGTGAAAGATGCAAAGCAGTTTCGTATGATTGTCCTCTACTTTCTTAGCATCTGCGGACATTCAATTATAGATTGCCGTTTTACTTGAATACTTTGAGTTCTTTGCACTTGGAGGTTATTCGGACATCACTTTGCGTAAACCTAGGGAGCTCTGCACAAAGGCATTGATATTCAGAAAAGGCATTGACCTACAAATTAAAATCAAAGGAAAATGTCACGCAAATTATGTGCACCTCCTGTGCTTCCAAAGTGACCAAGCAGAAGTAGCCAGTAGTTTCTGCCTCTGCAGATGCCGTTTTCAATTACATTGCCAGTGACTCATCTCCGTCAGGGCTTCTCTTAGCCTTCTGGGTGTTCATTTATCTTTTTTTCCTTTCAGACCTAAATCTTTGACCTTTTTTCCTCCAGATTACAATAAACAAAATGTATATTCTTCCCTTTTTTTTTCTGTGCACCAGCCTTCATATCTTATTTTTATCATTTGTCAGGTTAGTGTCAAGCTTTTAGCAAGAAAAAGTTAGTCACTTAACTTTGAGTGTGGTACACTTTTGCATGTGCGTGCATTTATGTGTATAAGAGCTAGAAAGCATTGAGATTCCACTTAAATTACGTAAACTAAACCTTTGAAACAGCCAACTTTGAAACTAAACTTTTGAGGCAGTGAAAAAAAGACAGCGGTTTTCTACTTGTTTCTGTATGAAAACACATCCTAATTTTTGGGAAAAATCAAATGAGAAAACTCTACATGGGGGCTGGCCCGGTGGCACAGCGGTTAAGTTCGCACATTCCGCTTCTCGGCGGCCCGGGGTTCACTGGTTCAGATCCCGGGTGCGGACGTGGCACCGCTTGGCATGCCATGCTGTGGTAGGTGTCCCACATATGAAAAAGTAGAGGAAGATGGGCGTGGATGTTAGCTCAGGGCCAGGCTTCCTCAGCAAAAAGAGGAGGATGGGCAGTAGTTAGCTCTGGGTTAATCTTCCTCAAAAAAAAAAAAAGAAAGAAAAGAAAACTCTACATAGTTAAGTGAAGATTATAGAGCTGCTCTGAAATTGTCCAGAAACAGTGCCCCTCATAGATATCCATACTGTTCTCAGCCTTTAGGAGGAAAGGATAATTTGAAATTTAGGCACATGTCTGGAGGAGGGAAAAGGAAAAGAGAAGGATGAAGAAATGGGGGGGGTGGTAAGTTGATTTTTTGTTTTTAGATTCACAGAACCATGCAAAGTTTTTAGGTGTTTGTTTTAAATTGTCTGCCAAACATTTTTCTCAACAATCTACAAAAGGATGCTATCTACTTTGTACCCCCCAAAAATTATTATGGCAATTTTTGCCCAGTTTCCCAGGAGAAACTCAGTGTCAGCAATAGCAGAGTGAGATATGATTGTGAGACTGTGAACACTAAGGAAACACTCAGATAAGCAAACAGATATTTATACACTTTAGAGGCAGCCATTGTTTTTAAGGAAAAGGGTGAAAGTAAAAGTTGATAACTCAAGAACACAAAGGCTAGTCAATAAGTGCCCTGTTTTCCAGCTCATATAATTATCTATGATGTCCATATTTCTATACGTGCAGCTAGAGCTTGTTTCTGACCCACCATTTGGAAAACAAACAACCCTTTAAAAGAATGTCCTTTTGATTTGCTTTTGCCAGAAAGTCTGTCCCTTTTTCAGTCCCTTTAAAAGTATCATATTAGTAGACAAGACTTTGGTTATCAAAGTAGACAATGATTTACATTGCAGAAAGGTATATGAAACACTTCTGTTCCTTGCCCCTTGAACTTTAGAGGAATGAAAATGTCTAGCACTCTCCACTTTCTTTTCTCTTCTGGAACTTGACCTGTCATTTAAATCCTGTTCCTCAGGAAAGTACCTGGCAGCCTCTCTTTACAGCTCTAGTTACCACGCTATTCAGAGAACTCAACATCCTAAAGAGACAGAACAGTAACCTGTTTAAACAGAGTAGAGCATAGGATATGTAAAAAAAATCCTGAAAATGGTCGAGTATTCTGTCCTCCTTCTGTCTCTCCCTCTTGAAGTGGAAAGGGAATGGAGCTGGTGAATGTGCGGCAGGTGGCTGCGGGAATCCTCACCTTATGTGCCAAGTTGCCACCGGACCTGACAGGTGTGTGTGGTTCTCTTCTGTCCATCAGAGTTGTCCTGCGAGAGGTAGCTTGGTTGAAGAGTTTGACTGAGCTCGATCGTGGTAATAACTCACTCGTTCTTTCTGGTTCACAAAATGATGGAGACAAACTTCAGAATTTGAAGACCTAAATTCTAATATGCTTCTTAAGCTTGAATACGGCTGGGAAAAGAAGAAAAGGGGCGTGGGAGTCTCCTCTCTTAGTGTTTACAGAACTTGGATGCTTGACAAACAGGGCGCATCAAGCTGATTGTTCTCAAGGCAGGAAATCTGTAGTAGAGGAAGCAGGTGTTGTGTGATGATTACCACATTTTGAAATTACTGTATTAACTATTTTGCTCTGAGGAGTTTGACCCCAAAATAGTCAGTAAGCTTTTTGGAAGATGCTATCCCTTTTATCTATAGACTTATTCTGCATCAGTTGATTACAAAGGAAGGAGAAAGTGCTTAAGTAAATTTGAAACCAGATAACATACATGGAGCAGTGTTGACAGTATCCATTTTTCTTTATTTCTTTTTTTTTATTTTTGGCTTTCAGCATCCCATACGTTCAGAGAACTTGTGACTGAGAGTGAATTCTTATTTTTCAGATTGTTTTCAGACATTTCATGTTCATGTAAACTTGGCTTATTGAGTTCCTGATTTTTCTTTATTTTTTTGTTTTGTCCATTTTATTTTTAATCAGCTACATCAAATGGGTCTTTGGAGGGCCTGGATAACCAGGAGGGAGGGGTGTGCCAGACAAGAGCCATGAAGATCCTCATGAAAGTTGGACAAGGTAAAGACCATCTGCCGCTTCGTGAAGCCACTGTAATCTGGTTGAGCCCCCAGCTAGTGTGGCGCAAATGTTGCTGACACCGCCTTCATTCACTCTTCTCTGTAGTTTTGAAAGCAAACCTTTCTCTGCACCTTGAGCCACTGACAGATTTTCTCAAGTCAATGTAACAAACTTCTTTTATTAGAGATACTTCTAAAAGTTAAGGTCAGCCGGGTAGACTGTCTATTGCCATATACACACATATATATTTTTTCTTCTTAAAAGCGAAACACCTCTTTGGTTCATAATTAAAATATCCACTATGAAAACTAAGTTTCTGCAGTTTTGCCCATTTCTGCATCTTGACTACAGAAGACTTTTGTTCACTGAGCTTTTTCACATATAGATAACCTATTGTGCAGAAAGAATTATTCTTCTAATTAGAAATTGGTATAGTAGTCAATCAACTCGCTCACTTAAATTGAAATGTCATCTGCAATGCTCTTCCTGCCAAATGCAAGGATCCCTATAGTTTCCACAGATGGCCTCACAATCTAAACCTCTGAAATAACTAGTGTAACCATTTTGTTTTAAAAGGAAAATTATATTCTTGTATCTCACAGTAGTTTGCATAAAGAATCTTATGTTCATTGCTATTCATGCCTTTTGAGATATATATCCAGCTCCTAAAGCCAGAACTTATCAGATGTCTGCGCTGTAAGTAATCATTTGTTTTTCATATAGATGCAAGTTCTGCTGGGTCACCCAGGCATAATGATCCAACAAGACGTCCAGAACTAGAAGCTGGTACAAACGGAAGAAGTTCAACAACAAGTCCCTTTGTCAAACCAAACCCAGGTATGGCAGCATGACCTGTGGGTGTAGGTCTCTGGGCACCGTACACTTCCTTTCTCAAGAGGTGGAACAGAACCAAAGTACTTTGACACCAGTAGGGTTAACTTGTAGTTACCAAAGTCAGTCATCTTTGCTCACAGTTGGTTGTTATTAATTACTCAATAAGAACAAAATGATTCATTCCCATGAAAGTCTTGCATCCAAAAGAGTAGGATTCATCAGATTTAAGTGTCAATTATTAACACTACTATCCCAGACCAAAGTTGTTTTCCTTGGCTGACGCTTTATCATGCTGGTTGCAACACTGGCTTAAAGCCAGTGTTAGTGTATATATAATTAATGTTCTAATCCGTCATCTAATTATATCTAATCCACAAAGAGCCTGATTGATCCTCTTCTACATTTTAGATGGTAACATCTTAAAATGTTGCATAATGCCATTTTTTTCAGGTAGTTATGTCGAAAATTTTTTTCACCTTTCCAGTGTAAATAAAATACTAAGCAGCTCCTTGGCAAAAGTTTAGAATACCAGATGAAATTTTCTGTCATTTAATTTCATTTTCTTAACGGTCTTTGAACAAATAGCTGTGTATCTGTTCCCATGCTAATGAATTTTTTATGTGGTGCTTGAGCAGACGTCAGCAGTTTTGTATCAGGGACCCGTAGGCCTGGTTGGTAGTCCTGTGAATTTAGCATCTGTAGCAATATTCCATCTCTTTTCAAGCGTCAAGGAGGGAGGTTGTTATTTCTAGCTTTCAATGACAAGATGTGTCAAATTCTTGTGACAAACTGATAAATGGATAATATAATGATGCCAGGCAATTTTTTAGTGCTTAACATTTGGGTTGGCAGTCTGTTCAGTGTGAGAGATTCTGCTGCCTTCCAAATATATTCTAAGTGTAAATCAAATAATACAAACGAGTTACAAGAGGAACGTTCTCCCAGGCCCCATCATTCCTCTCACAGGCTTCTGCCATTCTGCCAGTAGGCAGGGCCTGTCTCTGGAAGGCAGGCTGTTGGGAGTCCCATGAAGCTGCCGTACCTAGAGGAAAGTGGAGGAGCTGGACAGCTTGGGCAGTGAGTGCCAACCCAGAGAACTGGCTGCTTCCTTTTTCCTCCCTGCCGTGGCCTGGGGCTGGCTGACGTGGGTTCAGACATGCGGCAAGATCAAGGGCTGGCTGTCACAGCCCATCCACACGGCTGCCGGATGATGATATCTGAAAGGGAAACGATGTGGTTTGGGAGCAGTGTGAAAGTTCGACCTAGCCACATCTCCTTTCCTGTCGATCGCTGACTTCTGCCATTTGCATTTAGTTATTAAACCAGGTAATTGGTTTGTCAAAGTCTAGCTGCCAGTTAAACCTTTGGCCCTGCTTAGTTTTCACATTTTGAAGGGCCCTGAAAGCGGCCTTTTAGCACTCAGGACAGAGATAACCATTCTGGTTCTTCTCTTCCTCCACCTCTGCAGGTTCTAGCACAGACGGCAACAGCGCCGGACATTCTGGGAACAATATCCTCGGTTCCGAAGTGGCCTTATTCGCAGGGATTGCTTCAGGATGCATCATCTTCATCGTCATCATCATCACGCTCGTGGTCCTCCTGCTGAAGTACCGGAGAAGACACAGGAAGCACTCACCGCAGCACACGGCCACACTGTCGCTCAGCACGTTGGCCACGCCCAAGCGCAGTGGCAACAACAACGGCTCGGAGCCCAGTGACATTATCATCCCGCTGAGGACTGCGGACAGTGTTTTCTGCCCCCACTACGAGAAGGTCAGTGGGGATTATGGGCACCCGGTGTACATAGTCCAGGAGATGCCTCCCCAGAGCCCAGCGAACATTTACTACAAGGTCTGAGACTTGGCGGTGCCTTCGCTTTCCCGGAGGAAACTTACTGTCCCGCTGCCGCCCAGAGGGTTTGATGACCCCTGTGTCTCGAATGGACTGAAGCACAGCGGGGGAGGGGGAACACTCCTTCTCGGAAGAGCCCTGTTGAGTTGGACAGCTTACCTAGTCTGTAGCGTTTCGGCCGTGGTGAATACAGATGCTCACCGACAGCTGGAAGACTTGTGTAGAAGATGCCCATTCGGACTGCGGCGCTCGCCTCACACCTCTCATCCTCGAAGCCATGGGCTGCAGTCACTCAGGCCTACACAGAAGCCAAGGGAAGGCAGAGCGGTGGGCGGACGGGAGCGAGCTGTGAGCATCCTGGGAAGATGACCCAGGATGCCACGCCTGGAAATGCCGTCTTCTGCCTCGGGTGTGTCCCTCCGAGGTACATCCTGGACTTGTCGCACAGACCTCTGGCTGAGTGAGGCTTTAAAGAGAGAGCTCTAGCTTCTAGTCCTCACTGTTGCACACACTCCCTCTGTTATCCAGGGCTCTGCACTACTTCACTGAGATTTCCTCTCGCTCCATGTTCTGCGTCACTAATGGGACATTAATGTTTGGAGTCTCCTAGTCCATCCATTTGCAACAACAGCTCCAGCTGAATGGGTAATGCATTTTTAGGAATTGTGTTTGCTAATAAGGAGCCCTCCAGCCAGACCCTAGGCTGTCAGCCAAGGAAGACTAGGAATTCGTGGGAAGGGGTAGGCCGGGGAAAAGGGCTGTCTGCAAATGTAGTTCCACGCTGCTGCCTCTGAAACACAGTTGGAGGGGAAAACCCAATTAGGTAGCACAGCACTTTGGTTTTGCTAGGATTTTAAGAGGCAAGAAGGAGACCCAACAACACGTGGTGGATTAGGGTGCATTTGAGGGAATTCACTGTTATCAAATAGCAATGTGCAGGAAAACACATAGTCCCTCTTCGCTGGGTGGCACAAAGGGGCATTGTTGGTAGAGGAGCAGGCTTGGAGGGAAGGGAGAAAGTAGGCCGCTGGTGATGGATTCGGGCAGGACTGTTGTGGTACTGGCAATAAGATGTACAGCTCCGAAGCTGTAGGAAAGTCGGTCTGCTTTGGATGACGTTTAAAGCAGACTCAGCTGCTATACTTATCACATTTTTATTAAACACAGGGAAAGCATTTAGAAGAATAGCAGAGAGCCAAATCTGACCTAGAAGTTTAAAAGCCAAAGGTCACACAGGCTGTAATTCCATCATCATTGACGTTATTAAAGAATGCTCATATATAAAAGGTAGGTCAGATCCCCCGTCCCCACAGTGCCCCTCCCCACCCCTCATCCCTGATTGAGCCTTACGACACTTTGGTTTATGGCGGTGCTGTCCCAGCTGCGAGGCCGCGGGGTAGGTACTGAGTGAGGCCGCAGCGCGGGTGCTCTGGATCAAGGTGAAGCACATATGGCAAACCTCTTAGAGTCCTTACGAGGGAAATAAATTATGATGTCGAGGGGCAGAAGGAAGATAGGGCGTATTTATAATAGGTATATAGAACACAAGGGATATAAAGTGAAAGATTTTTACTAATATATATTTTAAGATTGCACACAATACACACCAGAAGATGTGAAATTCATTTGTGGCAATTAAGTGGTCCCAATGCTCAGTGCTTTAAAAAAAGGAAAATTGGACAGCTACTTCTGGGAAAAACAAATCACTCCAAAAATAACAATAATGAAAGCAAATACAAAAATAACCAAGCCCTCTGAAGGCATCTCACGTAACCGTAGACTAGGAAATGCAAGCCCCAATACCAGGAAATCTATGTGACTGCACCATATATTTAACAATGACAAGATGTTCCGGCATTTATTTTCTGTGCTGTGTTTTCCCTTGCCTTATGGCTGAAGTGTTCGCTAGAATCCACCGGGTCATATCGAGGGGGTTTCAGCTGAAAGTTTAGCTGTAGCTCCCTCATCCCGCCCCCCCCCCCCCCCGCCCCCTCCCTCCTGGGAAACAAAAAGAGTAAACAGGAAACCTACTTTTTATGTGCTATGCAAAATAGACATCTTTAACATAGTCCTGTTACTATGGTAACGCTTTGCTTTCTGAATTGGGAGAAAAAAATGTAGCAACAGCATTTTAAGGTTCTCAAACCTCCAGTGAATACCTGCAAAAATGAGTTGTCACAGAAATTATTCTTCTCTATTTCCTGAACCTGAAAATGATGTTGGTCCAAAGTGCGTGTGTGTATGTATGAGTGGGTGTGTGGTATACATGTGTACATATATGTATAATATATATCTGCAATATATATTATATATATCTATATCATATTTCTGTGGACGGTTGCCATGGTGACCAGCCACAGTACATATGTAATTCTTTCCATCACCCCAACCTCTCCTTTACGTGCATTTGTACAAGATTTTCTTGTAAGCCATCAAAAATTACCTTTAGGATGGGGGAGAGGGGCAAGAAGGGGAAAAATGGGAAATAGTCTGATTTTAATGAAATCAAATGTGTGTGTCATCGGTTGGCTACGTTTTGGTTATATGCTAAACTGTGAAAAATCAGATGAATTGATGAAGAGTTACCTGCAACAAATTGACAAGTGTTCTGTGCGTCTGTTTTGTGTCTGGTGCAGAGTATGACAATCTACCAACTGTCCCTTTATTTGAAGTTGGTTCAGCTTTGGAAAGTTACTGTAAATGCCTTGCTTGTGTTATCATCCCTAGTCACCCGACTTCGGAATTTGCACCATAATGTTTAAGTGAAGATGCTGTAAATAGGTTCAGATTTTACTGTATATGGATTTGGGGTGTTACAGTAGCCTTATTCACCTTTTTAATAAAAATACACATGAAAACAAGACAGAAATGGCTTTTCTTACCCAGATTGTGTACATAAAGCAATGTTGGTTTTTTATAAAGTCTAAGCAAGATGTTTTGTATAAAATCTGAATTTTGCAATGTATTTAGCTACAGCTTGTTAAACGGCAGTGTCATTCCCCTTTGCACTGTAATGAGGAAAAAAAATGGTATAAAAGGTTGCCAAATTGCTGCATATTTGTGCCGTAATTATGTACCATGAATATTTATTTAAAATTTCGTTGTCCAATTTGTAAGTAACACAGTATTATGCTTGAGTTATAAATATTTTTTCTTTTTTTGTTTTATTTTCATAGCCTGTCATAGGTTTTCAATCTGCTTTAGTTCCGCATTGCAGTTAGCCCCCAGAAAATGAACTCCGTGAAGTCACATTCCACGTCTGTTTCAAACTGAATTTGTTCTTAAAAAAATAAAATATTTTTTTCCTATGGAAAAAGCGCCTTCAAAGTATTTTCCTTTCCTTCTTTTTTCTTTTCATTTTTCTTTCTTTTCTGTTTGTTATTTTAATTTGCCTTCTCCTTCTCTGTTTCTCTATAATTACAGTTATCTGGAGCCTTCTGCCCATGGGCATTTTGCGTGTCCATTTTTCAAATCAGGACATGCACGTAATGTGAGTGTTAACCTTGCAAAGAGCTGCGAGCCCATTGGTTTCCCCATAAAACTATTGAACGCACATTTCACTAATAACATTTTATCATCAAGTTGTATAAAATCCTAATCACCCTGAACAGACAGAGTCTCTAGTTTCACCTGGATCACAGTCTGAAGTGAGCTGTGAGAGGAAAAGGAGGGAAATGCATTTTCTCTCAACACTTCATTCCAGATTGATCTGGTTTCCATTCAAGCAGTTCAGTTTGCTATCGACAGCTTCATTTTTCTTCACAGAATAATCCCAGGAGGAAGGAAAAAATCAAATGTTCTTTGTAAAAATTTGACACTGATGGGGGCCAGCCTGGTGGCATAGCGGTTAATCTTGTGTGCTCAGCTTCAATGGCCTGGGGTTCACAGTTTCGGATCCTGGGTGTGGAGCTACACACTGCTCATCAAGCCATGCTGTGGTGGCATCCCACATACAAAGCTGAGGAAGATTGGCACAGATGTTAGCTCAGCGACAATCTTCCTCAACAAAAAAAAAAGGAGAAGAAGAAAGAAATTTAACATTGATGAAAGCACGTTTGTGACACCAGACTGAGGCAAAGCAGAAGCCAGTGGTGTATTTAACCATAGTTTCAATGCTGGCCTTCCTGGGGAGGGTGCCCGGGTGCCTTGAGGGTGGGAGTGTTGTCCCTTCCTCTTGTGGCCTTTGAGGTCTTAGACTTCCCACCCTCAGGGGAGATAATCACCTGCGGGATCTGAGGGTAGAGGTGTAGACAAAGCAGGAGCAGCTATTAGTTACCAAAATAGTGCTCCGATCCTAGCCACATCATCTCGAGTTAATCCTCCCCTTAAGGAGTGAAGTATTTTAGGCAGGGAGGATGAGAAGGGCCCCCGAGGTGAGGAGCCAGAAGATTTTTCAGGCCAGACTGACTCACCCGAGATCACAGCCCCAGTAAAGGGAGAATTCACCTATGTCTCAAAAGCTTCCCAGGAGATTCTCTGTAAAGGCTGGTTTGGGAAGCAGGCATCGCTGTGGCACCCACCTAGCGCACTCGTACTAAAGAAATGTTTGTCAAATCAATGCTGTCCTTCAAAAAAAGAAAAATTCTCCAGAAGTGCACAGTTTCAGTTGACGCTAGAATAGTAGTTGCATTTACTCCATCATTTTATTCCACTGCACCTAACTGCCCGTCCATTGCACACCCAAGTTTAGGGGCACAATTTACAGCCAAGTGACTAAGCCGAATGCTGGGCCTTACCTGCCAAGATCTGGCTGAAAGAAAAGAGCAACGAAGTATTGCCTTTTCTGCTTTCACTCGGTGGCCTCTATTACAATTTGAATTACCAAATACACCATGTCATAGTTTCCACCTTGTTTTTGAAACCACATTTTCCAAATAGAGTAAACCAATCTCAACTAGGAGAGAAGTAGAATGTGCTCAGTTGTTACTCTTCAACTGGCGAAAAGGAATCTCAGATACAGAAACTTCTCACGGAGGTGGTTTAACCAGATGCTCCTGGTGCTGTCT